TTGCACTTGAGGGAGCCGGCTCCCTCTTCCATGAAGCCGGCTCTCTCCCTCTCTGAGAGCCCTGAACCATTCTGCTTCGTCTGCTTTGTCTCCGGCTGCTTCCAACCTTTCTGTTCTTCCTTAAAACTGAACCTAAGGGTCTTAATTTACATCCAGTATTATTCCAGTCATTTATTTAGAACCGTTTACATTAACACAACCATGAAAAACAATTACCGATTCATTATGCGTTAAAACCAGATAGTGAAACCAAACTTGCAAAAACAATCTCCGATTAAATTAAATTCTTACAGACTATCAATTTAACACATATCAAGCATGCAAGACTCAATTAATATTCAATTAAAATCCTAGAGATCATCTAGTTATGCACAGAATATAGGCCAAGGGGAGAGAGACAGAATAGAACTTGCCTGTATGGTTTTGGAATCAAAACCTTATTGCCGTCTTCCTAAGCTTTCCGACGACGTCCATTTACTGTCAACTCAACCTCCTACTGCTCAGCCTTCCCTCCTCCTAGGTCTGATCTTTAAGCCATAGCCGAAACCCTCACTTGCTCTGTTTTCTCACAAGTCTATGTTATGTCGCTCTGCCTTCACTGTGTCGTGAATAATGTTCTAAAACTCTAGGCAGACGCACGACATATATATTTATAGGAAATTACAAAACCTAAGTCCAATTAAAACCCTAAACTGAACCCTAGTCGACCCATACGTGATTTCTAAAAGAAAAAAACTTAATTGTAACATTAAAACTATTACACTAATTTAATCCCATTAAAACAAGTAATTTCCAATAAAGAAAAATAAAAATACAATTAGTCAATTAAAGAAAATAAAAATACAATTAATTCAATTAAACAACCAATTAATCACAAATGTAATTAAATACATAATTAAATAATTAAATAAAATAAATAATAAAACAATTAAATAGTTTAGCAAATAATCAATTAATCACACAAAAATGCAATAAAACCATAATTAAAATGCTGAGACTATCTTTTTAAAATTAGGGGTATTACAGAGGACCTGGTTGATGTTCTTGTATGTCAACGATGGGTCTTGCCACAAGTCCTGGAAGATAAATTTGAAGAAAATAATTTGGTTTCTTGTTGGACACAAGAGGAAGAAGACTGGAGACTCCCTGTCATTGATTATCTGGAACATGGAAAGCTTCCCGAAGACCTACGTCACAAAACTGAAATACGAAGACGAGTACCTTATTTTATCTATTACAATGATACGTTGTATAGGCGTTCATATGAGGGCCTTTTCCTTCGCTGCCTTGGAAATGACGAAGCAACCCATGCAATGAATGAGGCACATTCTGGGATTTGTGGAGCCTATCAATCTGGTCCAAAACTTCACTTTCGCGTCAAAAATATAGATTATTATTAGCCCATCATGGTCAAAGATTGCTTAAAGTATACGAAAATATGTCAAGCCTGTCAATTCTATGCTAACTTCATACACTAACCACCGGAGCCGTTACACCCTACTGTGACGTCATGGCCATTCGATGCATGGGGATTAAATGTAGTTGGTCCTCTAGAAAAGTCTTCAAAGGGCCACTTGTATATCTTGGCTGCCACTGATTATTTTTCTAAATAGTCAGAAGTTGCACCCTATAAACATGTGAAAAAAGAAACAGTGGTTGATTTCATCAAGTCTAACCTTATTTATCGATATGGTGTCCCTTGATATATCATCACTGATAACGAGACGAATTTCAAAAACAGTTGGGTAACTGACCTTTGTGAGAAGTTTGGCTTCAAACAACATAAATCCTCCATGTATAATGCCCCTGCAAATGGTCTCGCGGAAGCATTCAATAAAACTCTTTGTGAGTTATTGAAGAAAATAGTCAATTAGACAAAAAGAGATTGGCATGAGCGAATGCAAGAGTATTGTGGGCATACCGCACTATGCATCGTATACCTACTCAAGCAATTTCGTATTCTCTTGTCTATGGCATAGAAACGGTTCTTCCATTGGAACAACAGATCCCTTCGTTAAGGATAGCCATACAAGAAGGTCTTACAAATGAAGAAAATGCCATCTTATGTCTTCAAGAACTGGAAGCATTGGATGGGAAGAAAGTAGAAGCTCAATAACAGCTAGAGTGTTATCAAGCTCGACTTTCTAAAGCGTTCAATAAGAAAGTTCGACCTCGGTCATTTCAAGTTCGAGACTTAGTATTAGCTGTTCGTAGACCAATTATCCTGAATCGCAAGGGAAATAAATTTGTATCCAAATGGGATGGACCATATGTTGTTCGCGAAGTTTATACTAACGGCTCATATCTCATTATTGATGAAGACGGAGTAAGAGTGGGCCTATTAATGGCAAGTTCCTGAAGCGCTACTACCCATGAAGGCAATGCTCCTGATTGTATGAGCTTAAACTGCTCTATACTCTTGAACCGTATGAGCTAAAACTATGTAAAACAAAAAAAAAAAATCTTCGTATTACTCCTGCCCCGCAAAAGTATAAACTATGAACGGCTAAACAAATAAACAATGACAACATCTTTGTTAACAAAAATATGCTCATGAAGTGCGGAGCGTAAAATCAAAACATCTGAAATCGAGCTTATCTCCTTATTCTGATTACAGCCAAGGTTGGAGAGCTCACGGGAAGATATGCGGGACCACTCTAGCAAATGATGGTATGGAGGATCAGAGTGAAGCGGTTTCAGTGCAAAGTAGCTAATAAGAGACGTTCCGACATCCAGAGTAGTTCCTTCTTTATGGTGTTGTTCTCTCGCTCCAAAATCTGTATGGAAGATTTTTTTTGTTCCAATGGAACAATGGGTCCTGAACGGACTAGTAAAGATGTGTTCCAACGGAACAATGGGTCCTAACGGACTAGATGCGTTCCAAAGGAACAATGGGTCCTTACAGACTAGTTGCATTCCAAAGGAACAATGGGTCCTTACGGACTAGATGCATTCCAAAGGAATAATGGGTCCTTACGGATTAGATGTGTTCCAAAGGAACAATGGGTCCTGAAGGACTAGTTGCGTTCCAAAGGAACAATAGGTCCTGATAGAGTAGTTGCGTTCCAAAAGAACAATGGGTCCTTACGGACTAGTTGCGTTCCAAAGGAACAATGGGTCCTTACGGACTAAATGCGTTCCAAAGGAACAATGGGTCCTTACAGACTAGTTACATTCCAAAGGAACAAAAGGTCCCTCTGGAACTAGTGATTAAATCATCGTGAAAAAAAAAAAAGGAAAAGGAAAGAAGGAAAAAAAAAGTTTGTGGATAAAAAAGAAAAAGGAAAGAAAAAAAAAAGGGAAGAAAAAAAAAAAAATAAAAAAAATAAAGCGTGATAAGGAAGGAAAAAAAATCATACCGATTATTTGTTCAAGCAGAGGCCGCAATCCAACACAGTCTTCAGAGGTTGTAATCTGACAAGTCTTCAGAGAATATTAGAATTGATGTCAAAGCCTATAATATTGGGGGTATATATAAACAATAAAATACCTCCTATTTGTATTAGGATTTGTATAACTCGGTTCAAATAGGAAAGTAAAATTCCAATCCAAAGTTGGATAAAAAAGCAAAAGAGGAAATCTTACAATCTAAAGTAGAATAGGAAAGCGAAAAAAAGAAAAAAAAAAAAAAAAAAAAGAAAAGTTGGATACTTCAAGTCCCACTTGAAAAATGAGACAAGTCCTGTCAAACTTGGGACTCGAAGTAGGGACAATTTGTAGACACTAAAATTTTAGTGGGCTTTGGTTTTGACAAATTGACCCATTAAATATGAGCCTAATGTTTAATTAAGTTATATAATTGGCCCAAGCTTGGTCCACTTAAATTATTTAATTAGTTTAGCCCAGATGGTTAAATAAAAAAGATAATTATTCCTAATAAAATATATTTGGAATAATTATTTTAAGGATAATTATCATAATATAACCGGCCAGCCCAGTTATTATTTTATCCTTATCAGGAGATGACACATGTCATCATCCTATTAATCCAAAAAACCTACAAATAGAGGCCTATAGGAAAAAGGAAGGGACACAAATTTAGAATTTAGAAGTTTAGAAATCCAGAGACTCAAAAATCCAGAGACTCAGAAGTCAGAGACATAAATTCATAATCCAAACCCAAAAGCGAAGAACATCAAGCACATCAAATCGTGCCGTTCTTCATCCAAATTCCACGGTGATCAACAACAAGCATATCTAAAGACGTGTCGTTCTTCATCCAAATTCCACGATAATTCAATATCAAGCTCGTGCAGCCCTTGGATCCAACCAACTAACAAAGAGATCGAACCAGAAGACCTTATTCTTTGGAATATTATTACAAAGAATTGTACTCAAATTTTTATAAATTAATAAAATATTATATTTGCTCCCTATTTTGTTTCTTATTTGCAGACTACAAACACTACAAGAAATTAGGTTTTTAGTGACGGGCGAATCTGTTCCTAAAAGCCCTAAGACCGTCCCTAATGATCGAATTCGACCGTCCCTAATAGCTGTGTCCCAAAAGATTTTTAGGGACGGCAAAAGTTGCCTGTCCCTAAAAAGTTCAACCTTTAGGGACGGACTTACTCTCCCAAATAAGACCGTCCCCGTTTGATTTATTAGGGACCGACCTACTGTCGCAAATAGGCCGATTTATTAGGGACGGACTTACTGTCCCAAATAAGACCGTCCCCTTTGATTTATTATTAGGGACGGTATTTACTGTCTCTAATAGTCAATATATTAGAGACAGGTTTGTTGTCTGTCCTTAATACAATACTTATTAGGCACAATTTGTACTGTCCCTAATATGATTTATTATTATTATTATTATTATTATTAAATTTGTATTATTATTTTTTTTTTTCATTTATTATTATTTTTTTTTTTGGTTTTTGTTCGGCTGGATTTGTGTTCTAGAAAAACTTATTAAACCAAAACATTCGGAACTAAAAAGGACATACATCCACAATATCATTGTAGAAAGAAAAAAATTGTTTATCACCACAATACGGTGCCAACAAACGAGCTCTTAATCTCATAATGAAACTACAAATTTTCCAGTTTTGTAAACAAGAACTAAAAGTATGTACTAGCTACTTTAACATCAAATGGTTCCAAACATCCTCAAAAATTAAAACATCATTTTAAACTGAATGCAATCATGAAAATGCAGGCCAAAAAATACACGTACCAAAATAGTTAGAAATCAGCTAGCTAGCTATCAAAAAGCTCCAAAATATATCTACCAAAATAATTATCTTTATAGTTCATCCAGGTGATTGTTGGCGGCTACTAATACCAGCTTGGCGGGGCATGCTGCTGTTGGGAATGTGATGGAGAATGTCGATTTTAGTGGAACCGTGGTGGTGGCGGCTGTTGCTGCTGTTGTTACTGCTCAAGGAGTTGTTGTTGTTGCTGTTGTTGCTGCTCAAGGAGGTGCCGTTGTTGCTCAAGTAGCTTCTGAATTGTATCCAACTTCTCCTCCAAACTTGTAACTTTCTCCGTAAGTTGTGCATTTTTTTCTTCAACATTTTTCACCCTTTTTATAGAAGCCTCTTCAAAAGATGAGGATGCACGTTGATGGCTTGGAGCTACAAAACCATTTCCGAACTCACGACGATATCCCTTTCTGATACCTAATTGGTTTTTCACTATCTCAACATCATTTATGATAGGATTGGTACCATCAGAATTGTGAGAAACTTGTGAAAACTTCTCTTTCATTTCTTTCTGAAATTAAGATTAATGTAGTGTTAAACATCAGTAGGTCAATAAAAAAGTAATATTGCAATCAATAACTGAACAACTTTTTTCATTATAGACTAAAGAAAGGTTCTCAGTTCTATGGTCACCTTTTCTTCACTTTTCTTCTGATTTTTTGCATTTCTTCACTGTACTGATATTTCCTGCTTATTTTCCTCATTTGCAGTATTTTGTTTTCATTTCAATACTGACACTAGGAAAAAACACAAAATAAATGTATTGTACTGGTATGTTGTTTAGTATTGTCAGTTTTCCCAAAAATTTCTTATAATGTTTATCATACAGCTTATACTTCTGAAATTATTTGATATTTTGGATGATGTCATCTTAATTGTTTTTTGTAGTAGTCATGTGTCCTCTATGTCAATTTAATTTTTCCAGTCTGTTTTTTTGCTCAGTTTTGTTTAATATATATATATATATATATTTTTTGAAGAAGATTAAGAAAATTGCTTTAATTATCATCACTTTTTCCATACATACTTTATATGATTTCTTCACGAGTCATGTTGAAGATCAGTTTACGCCCCCAGTGTGTTTGGTTGCAGAGATATTTTGATTAAATTTCTTTCAATGTTAATTATAAGCCTGGTGATTATGAAAAATTTGAGGATGTTTCTATATTCCATGTTCCTATTCTAATTTTCTCTTTTCTTGTATTTTTATTTATCCGGTACCTAAATCAAAAAAGGCACAAACACAATCAAATAAGGAGAAATCAAAAGAGTAGTACAAGCTAAAAACAAATAATAATGCACACACCATCAAAGAAAAACATATATGGAAGATAAATTCCTTATGTTCTTAAGGATAAAGAAAAATAATAATAACAATTTCTATACCACACTCAAAGCAAGAAGAAATAGTAAATGCATTAGGGAATGCAACAAATCATGTATCAAGTTGTTTACTACACATACACGCACAATCTTATTATCAGAACAGCAATTCATATATACTTCTACATATAAGTATATATATTGTAACTAATTTACTACACATGCACACAATCTTGTTATCAAACAAGATGGCAATAATAACACATTAAGAAAAATAAAATAAGTAAAATGGGGGGAAAAAAACTTACGTAGTTCTGCTTAGCTATCTCGTTTACCCATCCAGTTTCTTCCCTAAAACGCGTGTCCTTGTACATGCGAATAGCAGGACCCTCCTCAGGACTTTCAACTTCCTCATCAGAGAAAGAGTTGCAACCAAAAAAATAGCCTCATGAACAGAAAATCTAAGAACTCAGAAAAACTAGAATCTGGAAAAGGGAGCAGGCAAAGGAAAAGCAAAGGACCAGACTACCCAGGTGGAAAGGAATTGATGTGAGTTTGGGGTATTAATATATACTCTATTCACAACAAAGAACATTATGTCTAAATTAAAAAAAAAAAATTAGTACAAATTTTAAACTAATCTTCTTTTAATTCCAATTTTAAATCACCAATTTTGCATCAACAATGATCACAATGAACCAATAGAAGAATTGTAACTAACCAACATTATTTCGCTGCAGTCTCTCCCTTCAAGAATCATTTATTTTTCATGTGCAAATTAAAATAAAAATTATGTGATATGTGTGTCAGTGTGTGTGATCAATGTAGAGCCTAAACTCACTCTTTCTCTCAGTGGTAGTTTCAGCCAAGTCTCTAGCTGCCACCTCTGAAGTGATGAGAAGAAGATTAGCAAATGCAAGACCAAGCAAAAGAAATGCCTTAGAAGCCATTTTCGTATACTTTTTCAAACTGGAGAAGGATGAGAAAGCTAATCAGTTACTCATCTCTATTTATAGGCTAGCTGAAAGAGTGAGAGAGACTGTGAAAAGCCATTAAAGGGTTTAACATATAATATATAATATATATTTATCAAGGTCATAATATAGTTGGGTGTTGAAGGGTTAGCTTTTAATTCATAAAAGTCAAATCTTATCTTATTAATTAAATTCAATCAACGTGACAAAGAATTTGTATTACACCACCAGCGTGCTCACGCCTTCATTTATTCGATTGTGTATTATCACAAAATAGCAGTGAATGAAACCAGGTCCACTTGATCTAGTAGTCAGCCATTTGAGAGAGAAAAATAAGGCTTCTTCTTAATCTGAAAAGGAAAATTAACGGATGGGTCATTCTGGCATTTATTAAAATGTAAGTTAGTGAATATGAATTATAAATTGAAAGACATATCAACAACTCAATATATATTAGGGACCTTAAAAAGATGGTATATGTTAGGCTGGCTCAACATATAACTCAATGTAGGCAATTCTAACCTTGCTTAACTTCTTATTACTCCTACAAATTAAAGTTTTCCATTAATAAATTGTTAGATGAAATTAAGTTCAATAAATGTGCTATATCATCTTAAACCCTTACCTACTTTAGTGGAACAATCCCAATCTTATTTGATTTCATGGCATGGCATGGGATGGCATGACATTAAGCTCAATAATTTGAAGAAGCAACTCCTTACTTAATTGTGCTCAATTTACTACAACCTATAAATGAATTTGGGGATTCATGTAACTAAATATTTGCAAAATGATATATTTCCCTACTCAAGGGAAAAAATTAAAAAAATCTATCCAGAGTGTTTTCTATGTTTGACACATATTCCATGCATGTAGTTGGAGGTAATCAAAAACTCACTGTTTTTTCTTTTTTTCTTTTTTTCTTTTTTTTGAGTATTTTATAAACTGTTTCAATTTCAATGATATTAATAAATGGAGAGCACATAAAAATATTCTCTTCTTAATAGTATTACTTGTATCTTATTATGTAATTTTCAAATTTAGCTTCACATTTGTTTAGAATTTGGATTCAAAATACATGATTCCCAATAACTGATGTTCAAGTGACGGAGGATGATGACCCTTAGTAAATTGTGTGGATTGGTTCAAAATCTTATTCCCTTTTCGGCTAAAAGATGAAGGCTAAAAGGAGTAAGTGGGAAGACTTGAAACACACTATAAGAAATAAATCATTATCAGTATTATCATTATTAATTTTTTTGATTTTTCTTCTCACTCTACTACTCACGTCTATATACATATAGACCAATACTGGTAGGTAGACATGATATTTTTGTCAAAGAAATAAAAGACAGACTGGACCAACAAATAAATTGTACCCATTTTAATCCATATTAACAACTTCATTATTATACCAATATGCTAGTTTTAACTAAATTTGACAAAACTTCTGACTTCTCTACCATAAGACTTGTAGAGTGATGAAAACAAATCAACGGTTCACCTTTCTCTTCAAAACCATCCACATCCACAAATCAATTCTACTGATATTTTTTCCCTCCTCTCTTTTTGCTCTTAGTTATCCAAACAGATTGTATTATATAAAAATAAAAAATAAAAAATAAAAAAATTACTTACTTACGAAGGAAGAAAAAATTGTGCAAATTAATTAACCTAAAGTGAATACTTACAAGTGTTGCATTCTATAATATGTTGGTTACTTTTCAAATTGTGAAGAAAAAGAAAATACTTAACAAGTGTTGCATTCTATAACATGTTGGTTACCATGTAGTACAAAATTTTGAGCTAGTACAAAACTTACAAATCCATTGTGTCATACAAGTGGCGTTATGCTTACTAAATATTGTAATAGTCATGTGATATTAGTTTGTATTTGGCCTGATTATGCAAACAAAATGGGTTGCTCAGAGAATCTAATCCATTTTTTAAAATGAATTTGTTAATAAATAAATATAGAACCACACAAGTATTTGGTCATTTTTATATGGATTGCATAAACTTTTACCACAATTGCAACTCATATAGATGGTCTACGGTTGCATTTGTCGAGTAGCAGAAAACAGTTCATTGAAAGCAAAAACTGGTCACTTGTTACCTGTGGGCAATGCAACTCAATGACAAAGTTCAGCAGGACCACTCTGACCGAAAACAATATGAGCAGCCAAAGCAACCAACACCCTTTGACCGACCAAGACAAACATTTATTAGGCAAATCAGAGATCTTAAAAAGGGCGCCAATACACCAAATGCACATAAAACAGATGACTTGTGGTAAAATATGAACAATTATGATAGGATTTTTAAATTTTTATTTTTCCTAAAAGGTTATGATAGAAAATTTTCAACTAAGAGGTGCAAATTGCAAATTGATGACCAGAAGCTCAGTTTCAATTGTGTGTGTGAGTGTGTGTGTGTATTTCTGGTCTATACTTGCATTCCAGTATATTGTCATGTTAGTTCAAATGACAAATTAAGCATTTGAACTTGAGCATACAATGTAGAAAATTGAAATCAGATTGAAAAATAAAGAGACACACCAAAAAATATATAAAATTCCAGTAATGATGATCATATAATGGGTAGAAAAATGAAGCAAATGCCAACAAACCCAGATTGCAGAGAAAGCGATAGAAAATGGGCAAAAATCCAAATTTCATGAGAGATCAAGTCATATTTTTCGACGAATCAAAGATTTAAAAACAGGTTTACTTACTGTGCTAAGACCAGATCTTGAAGCTATAAATGGAATCTGATCACTGTCTTCACCAAATTCATTCCTAAAAAAATTACACACACTCAGAAATCGTAAAACCCCATAACTCTGTAATTGTTCAAAACTCTGTTTATATCTCGGATTTGTGTTTATAGTCCCTTCATGTGAAGAAGAATCTCTCTGATTTTGGATGTGTTTGGTGGGAAAACTAAAAATTACTAGAAAATTATAAAATAAAAATGGTTTGATTGACAGGTTTGAAATTTGTTTTTATGAAAACTCAATTAAGAAAGTCCTAAAGTTTTCAGAAAAATGATCTTTATATAATTTTAAATTAACAACTACTTTTATATGGTTAAAGTAGAAGAATTGGTAAAATAGAAAAACGCTTTCCTAACCAAGTAATATAGCTAAAATAAATAGAATATTATATGCCATATATCAATAAAAGAGTAATTCCCAAAACGGACTATGATCAATGAGATGGACCGAAATACTTAGGCTTCCAACTTCTTAACCCAATAAATTTTCTAAAGAATCATCTGATACTGGACACTCTCAAACTAGAACACCATGGGAAACATGATAAGCAATGATTCAACTACTAAGGTTCCAACTTTCATGAAATTTCCAAGCTCAATCAATTAACATTACATCCATACGTCCACCAACATAGAATATGTACTAACCAAAAAAAAAAAAAAAGTTCAATCTTTCATTTTCACATAGCATCAAAAAGACAAACAATATTCACTAATATAAATGTTTAAATAAGCAATTGAAATCAAATTCTGCAGCTATAATTTTACTTATCAATAAAAAAAAAACCTGAACCTATATTTCTGAGATCTAAGATATAAATAAATATATATGTTTATAAAGCCATGCCACCTATATAATCAACACTAAAAATAAAACCATATTCCCAATATCAAAATCTAAAAGAAAAGAAATAAGCAAAGAAAAAATTACAATAAACCGTTAAATGAAAACGAAATATAGGTATGTATAAGATATATATAGACAGAAATTAGAGGACCTGAACGAGATAAAAAGGGGTGGTAGCAGCAGCGACGCCCCACAAGGTGTTTCCGGCTGCTATTGTTGGGGGCGACCTCTATGTTGATACCCATCTTGAGAAAGATAACATGTAGGGCTATGACTTCAATTGAAAAGAAAGAGATCGATATTGGGGAAGACCAAACCAGTTTTTCACCACGAGATGTCATGTAGTGGGTGGATGGATCATCATTGTTTGAGAGAGAGGACGAAGGAGAATAGTTAGGGCAAGAATAGCAGAGATCATATCGAATAAGAAATTGAGAAACATCTGCAAGTGTGAACCCTGGTGGATTAACTTTGTATATACTTAATTGACCAAAACTACATCAAGGGTACTTTTGTAAAATTACTTAGTAGGCAATTAAGGACGATAAGTTTATCGTCCCAAAAGGCTATTTCAGATGATTTTTTTATTAAAAAAAAAAAAAAAAAAAAAAAATTCAATAAATGTGGCGCTAAATTTTGCCGCCACCAAATTGGAAGAGAGTTTTAATTTTTTTTTTTTTTTGATCTTTTAGGGACGGAAAGGTTAGACTGTCCCTAAAAGGGGTCTTTTAGGGAAGGAAAAGTTAGACTGTCCCCAAAAGGGGTGTCTTTAGGGACGGAAAGGTTAGACTGTCGCCAAAAGAGGTGTCTTTAGGGACGAAAAGGTTAGACTGTCGCCAAAAGAGGTGTCTTTAGGGACAGTTTTTTTACTGTCCCTAAAGGACTATCACCAATACCCCTAATTCTTGTAGTGAAAATTTATGTGTACAAGGGTCAATCAACTGAGGCCGATAAAATCATCTTTGAAAAACCACATCTGGCCATGACACAACAGTTGAGGCCGTTGTATGTTAAGGTTTAGGTTGAAGGACAGTTAATCAATAGGGTGTTGGTCGACAATGGTTCAATGTTAAATGTCATTCCAGCGACTACTTTGAAGAAATTGGGCAAGATGATGGATGATATGGTTCCAACCGACGTGGCCATCAGTGGTTTTAATGGAGGATCTAGTAACACCAAAGGTATTCTGCTTTTGAAAATTACTATTAGTGGCAAAACATCCTTCATAGCTTTCTTTATCATTGATTCAACCACGCCATATAATCTCCTTTGAGGCCGAAATTGGATTCACCCTAATACGTGTATCCCATTAACATTGCATCAAATATTGATTTTTTGGGATGAAAATGAGGTAAAAATTGTTAAGGCCGATAATAAACCCTTTATAGCTAAGGCGTATTCGGCCGAGGTTGCACTTTATGATGAAATTGTTGTACCTGTCAAATTTAATGGCATTAACAGGATGGGATGACCAGCTGTAGCAACAATGAAGAAAAACTTCGTTAAAACTTATATTAAAGAGTTATTGATAGAAGTAGTTCAACCGAAAATTGATATTTTCATGTCGATCATCAAGGAAATTGAAGACATTTCTAATGGATTGCACAAATAAAGAAGAAAAGAGGCGTCCAGCTTTTAGGGCCGCTTGCATAAGACTGAAAGCATATCTGGCTAAAAAGAGATTGGCCAGAGAAGAGCAATTATATGAAGAAGTATCGGCCAGTACGACTGATATAGTTGAAGAAGGTTTTGAAAAGCTGGATGCAATCCAACTTGAAGATCTGGAGTCAGCCCCTTTCAGGATGGAAGATAATAAGGTAGAGGTTCAGGATCCTTTATGTGAAATTAATGTCGGTACTGAATGAGACCATCGGCCATTATTTGTTAGTGACTTACTTGAGCCTAATTTTCAGGCCGATTTGATTAATTTACTAAGGGAATATAAGGATTGTTTTGCTTGGAGTTATGAAGAGATGCCTGGCTTATCACAAAAGCTGGTAAAACACAGATTGCCTATCAAGAAAGATTTTCAGCCATATAAACAACCACCAAGGAGGATGTCCTTGGAAGTAATGTTCAAAATTAAAGAATAAATTGAAAGACTTCTTAAGGCAGGATTTATTCGAACTGTTAGGTATGTTGAATGGTTATCTAATGTTGTTCCAGTAATAAAGAAAAATGACAAATTTAGGATTTGTGTGGATTTTCGTAATTTAAATACTGCCATTCTAAAAGACGAATATCCAATGCCAGTGGCCGATCAACTTATTGATTCGGCCGCTAAACATGAAATAATGTCTTTTATGGACGGTTATTTAGTTATAATCAAATCTATATAGCCGAGGAGGATATTCCCAAAACGAATTTTAGATGTCCTGGGTCAATTAGTACTTCTGAGTGGATTGTAATGCCATTCGGCCTAAAGAATGTAGGGGCTGCTTATCAAAGGGCAATGAATTCAATCTTTCATGATATGATTGGCCGATTTATGGAAGTTTACATAGATGATGTGGTTGTGAAATCATCGGCCAAAAAACAGCATTTGGAACACTTGAAAAAGGCCTTTGAAATGATGAGAATCCACAAATTGAAAATGAACCCATTTAAGTGTGTTTTTGGGGTCTCAGCCGGGAACTTCTTGGGATTCTTAGTACATCAATGAGGCATAAAAGTTGATCAGAATAAGGCCAAAGCTATTATAAATGCTATGGCCCCAACCAACAAAAAACAGGTACAAAGGTTTCTAGGCCAGGTAAGTTTTCTTAGACGATTTATTTCTAACCATGCTGGCCGAGTACATGATTTTTCTCCTTTATTGAAATTAAAGTCACATGAGAAATTCCATTGGGATGAATCCCATAAGAAGGCCTTTGACAAAATAAAAGAGTATTTGGCAAACCCCCCAGTAGTGATGCCTCCAAGGAAGAAATGGTCGTTGAAACTTTATTTATCGGCCGCAGAGGAATCAATTGGTGGCATGCTTGCTCAGAATAATGAACTTGGAAAGGAACAGGTTGTTTACTATTTAAGCAGAGTATTAACTGATGTTGAATGCAGATATTCTTCAATTAAGAAGCTTTATTTATCTTTGTATTATTCAGCCATGAAATTATGGGTATATATGCGGTCGATTGATGTTTACATTCTTTGTCAAACTAATGTGATTAAATATATGCTATCAAGGACATTGATCACTGGCTAAATAGGTAAGTGGGCATTGGCCTTGATGGAATTCAATTTGATCTTTGTCCTATAAAAATAAGTTAAATGAAGAGTTCTGGCTGATTTCTTGGTCGATCATCCTTCGACTGATATTGATCCATAGGTTTATGATGAATTTGAGTCATCAGCCATATTCCTAACCCCTTGGATATTGATGTTCGATGGATCAAACACGGCCGATGGAGCAGGGGTAGGTATTGTTATCATTTCACCTGCTGGAAGAAAGACTTCATTTTCATTTTTCTTAGATTTTAAATGATCGAATA